CTCTGTAAATGGCAGGTGAGGTGCTGTTCCTCTCCTTTGAAGGATTCCTGTGCCTGTGGCTGGCTCCCCCTCACTGCTGGGGGTCACCTCTGTCACACAGCCCCAGAGACTGGGGCCACCACATCCCTGCTTTGTGCTCCTGCCACCCTGATCGGGGCTGTGAGGAGGAGATGACAGATTTCTGATCCCCTCTTACCTCCAGACTGTGATGAAAAGAGCAATATTGAGAGAGAGAGACACCTTGCAAAACGTTGCCTTTAGTTCTTGGGAATAAAGCTTGTTTCTGCTTTGAGTTTTCCAGCAGCAGATGCAACCTTGTATGGCTTTTATTCACTCCTTTCTCCCTTCTCATGGGTTTAGTTCTCCAGCTACTGATTTCTAGGTGTTCAACTGTCTACATGAGAGAGCAGGAATAAAGGATGAAAAGAGGAAAAATAATTTTAAAAAAAAGAACTATGAAAGAGAATAATAGCATTGGGAGTCTGGGAAACCCCACTGGGGGTTTACTGAGAAGGTTAAAACACAGTACAAACAAGAAATAAGTGGTGTGAGAGAAGCAGACGCTGAGGAGGTACTTTGGTAACAGCTGAGTTTAAGCTGTAATGAGAAAAAATGACAAAAGCAGGGAGAAGAAATACAAGAGCGAAAATTGGTTTGTGTATTAAAGTAATTAATTAAAGTAGTAAATGGAGTCTTTAAAATGGAGCCTTTCCTTGCTGTTTCTGGGATGGTATGTGTGTTTTGTTCAGTTGTTGGACTGGGTTTAATGCTTTTTACTGTCAGCTTCTTCCTAGATCTTTGAAAATAAATTATCACATTAACATTTGGATACTTTCAGTACATTGCATTACTTTGATTTGTGCCATAGCCCTTTCCAAGGGGCTGACAGATGTCTGTAGTGCTTGATTTTTTTGTGATTGGTGCAACTTGCTTTTCCCATTCCTGGGTTTGTGACAGGAGCTCGGTTTATAGGACTTCCAGAGCTCACACAGTAGCCACCCTGAGTGTGTTGGGAATATTTTACTGCTCCTGTTGTCTTGGTGTGAGGTTTATTCCTCTTCATGGATCTGTTAAAGCCTGGCTGCTCTGTGTGGCTGGGAATGAAGTGTGTTTTGAGCTCAGTTGGGATGGGTGAGCTCTGTGAAAAGGTGCTTGCAGTCCTTGCATCCCTGTTATGTGATGCTTCATGTGTAGGTAAGAACTTTACTGTTGTTTGTTGTTTTCAGAATTGTATAGAAGTACTGTGACCAAAATTGTCAAAAAATAGTCTCTGTGTTTTATTTGACAATAAAAGCTAACAAGAAAATATTCACCCAAGTCAACAAATTTAAGAAAGCTTTTCTAAAGCTTCTGTGTTTTGGAAAGTAGGCTGGTGTAATAGAATAACTGCAAAATAATGATTTGCTAAAGAGACTAATGAGCTCAGTTTTCAAGCAGCATTAATGCCGTGTTTAGCTCGGGATTTCCTGCATGTGCAGCCCTGCAGTCCCAGGGCTGTCCCAGCAGGGTGAAAAACGAGCTCTGGAGGGCTGGGATGGAGCTCTGGGCCCGTGGCAGTGAATAATTGCAGAATAGAAGCTCATTGACTAAAGCCTGGTTTACATGGGGCTGAGGCACTGTAGTAAACAGTTTGGATTACTGGGAAGTGATGGATGCTTTTGATTCATATAATTCTTTGGCTAAATATTGTCAAAAGGAGCTGCATTCTAGAGAAAAGAGAAGTGGTTTTGGAGGCACTGTGGAGAGGAACTTGGTGCATTTTTTTGGGTTTTGGTGTGCTGAGAGTATTTTAGTACTTATGTGACTAAGTGGATATTTATTTTGCCATAATGTGTGTTTGATTAGATTACATCAGCTATAAATACTGGAAGCTCTGAAGCATCTATTTCACTGTCTGTCTCTAATCTTGGCTTTTGAGGAACATTTAATGTCTTGTTGTGGTTACAATTAATCTGCGTGTGTTTTAGCAATTAGTGTTTATGTGCAGCGGGCAGCAGCCAATGCTGGCAACTGTCAATCAGCAGCTGCAGCAGGCTCTGAAAAGGAGTGCAGAAAGCACCAGGTGATTCCCTGCCTGCCTGGTTATTTGGGAATGCAGTTTTGTGGGCAAACACCCTTTGTGGCCTGAGTTACGTGCTGTGATTCCCCATGCAGGCAGTGGGACAGTGGTATTATTGTGGCTGTGATGTGATGAAGCTCTGTTACCTTACCACTTTAATGGGCTAAAGTTTCATTTGCTTCCTTCACCACTTTTTGTAACAGCTGCTGGTTTTTACTGTCTTGTAGTTTTTCTTTATGTAGGCATGCTGGCTTGTTTTTAAAAAACCTTCATTATCATCTAGAAAAGTGGATATCCTGTGAGCCCCTAACGGAGGGATGACAAAATACATAAAAATTCAAAGCATTTCAATTCTTCTGCTTGGCTAAGATTTAATAAAACTGATAATATGAAATTATACAAGCAAAACACAGATGGAGGAGGGAAAATGGTTTGTTTTAAACAGAGAGCATCTCTGGTAGTACACAGTTATGAACTTCCTACTGTGTTTGTAGCCCCCAGCCTTGGGCATTCCCTCCCTCTCCAGGGTGTGGGAGCACTCTGCCCACGATTGCTTTTTCCTTCTTCTTTGCTTTGAGGTTGTTTGTTTTTTAAAGGAACAACTTTAGCAGTAGGATGTACTGGCAGAACAGTGCAGCTTAGTTAAACCAATCTGAACATGTTCTGGAATCTGATATGCCCTGAGCTGGGACTGGGAAATTTGCTGGCTGCTCCTGGCTCTGCAGGCTGGGCACCTTGAGCGAGTCCCCACGTCGTTCTCTGGCAGCCACCACCTGTGAAATGGAGATAAAAATAATGATCTTCCTTCAGCTGTTTTCCAGGTTACAGGGCACGGTACCAGTGTCCTCATTGGCATTTTTTAATAAGGCTCTGCAGATTAATGCCTTGCCCTGGTTTGAAGGTGTGGAAACCAAGGGCTGGTTTGTCCCCCTCTGCCTCCTCCCTTCTCCTGAGCTTCCGTGCAGGAGTGAGTTTATTGCAGTGCTGTGTGTGGACAACACCTGAATTCCTTGCCCTGAAGAGTGCAAAGTGAATTTATGGAAGCAGTAGGTATTAATTTTGTAAGTGTCCTACCACTGGTTTGAGCTCTAATAGTTCCCTCTTGCATTAAGTAGATTTAAATCTCTTTTAAACTAGGAGGCAATAAAATATTCAGGATCTGTAAAACAGCGTCTTTCTCCACTGATAGCTCATTATCTGTGCTTTCTCTTTGGATATGGATATTTTTTCCTTCTCCCTGATAGGAGAAATGCCACAAAGGCATAAGTTTGTTGGGAAGCTTCAGCTCCGTTTGCCAGGTGCTCAGCTGGGCTTTGAGTGTGTCAGCTGTGTTTGCTGCTGCAGATTGTGGAGTAGGTAATTGCAATTTGTTTTATGCACTTTTAAATGGGCTAACAGCCCTTTTTGTGTGTAATTTTTTGTTGTTTCATGTGAAGAATAGAGAGGAGTCTGAGAGTCATTTTTCTTTACACAAAAATACATAAATTATTTAAGCTGATAAGAGAGTCAAAGTTCAAACAAAGGAGGCTCTTCAATTAGACCTCCCCAAATATACAACAATAAACTGTGTTTTTGCAGGAAGAAGTTTACTTTATCATAACTTTTTTTGGTTTTGTTTGGGTTCAGTAATTGATATATTTGTTACTAATATGTTATATTTTTATACAGTTTCTTTGTAGTTACATGTTGTAAAGTGGCTGATCAGTTTGGGTTTTTTTAACTGTAACATTTCTGTACAAAAGCCACTTTGTGAAATATGCTGGTAACCAATGGTTGCTGTGTATTTTTCAGAAAGTGACCCCATGGGGTTTATACCCATCACCCCACTATTAGAGGCTGTTTATTACTGGGCTTCTCAAAACCTTCATCATGGGGAAGAAACAAAGAGTGAAAATTTGGGCTAAGTGGAGTGTAACATTAGGGAGAAAACACAACTTAAACCTTTGAATGTAATTTCACTACTAGCAAACTATCCTGAAATCTTAGTTTAAGATAAATAATCTTATCCAGGCTGTGGGTAAAATACACATCCTCTGCCCTGTCTTCATAGTGTGTGGTACCAAACTGAAGCCCAGGTGGGAGGCAGGAGGGAAGGGGCTGGAAAAACAGAACCCCCGGGTGTGGGGCAGGAAAAGGGTTCAGTAATTGATATATTTGTTACTAATGTGTTATATTTTTATACAGTTTCTTTATAGTTATATAGTTTGTTATATGTTGTAAAGTGGCTGATCAGTTTGGGGTTTTTTTACTGTAACGTTTCTGTATAAATCCCATCCTGTGATATATGCTGGAAACCAATGGTTGCTATGTATTTTTCAGAATCCCAAGGGATTTATACTCAGTACTCCACTTTTAGAGGCTGTTTATTGCTGAGTTTCTCAAAATCTTCATCATGGGGAAGAAACAAAGAGTAAAAATTTGGGCTAAGTGGAGAGAAGTGTTTTTTTCTCCCTAAAATTAGGGAGAAAACACAATTTAAACCTCTGAATGTAATTTCAGCACTAGCAAACTATCCTGAAATCTTAATTTAAGATTAATAAGTAGTGTTATCCAGGCTGTGGATAAAATACACATCCTCTGCCCTGTCTTCATAGTGTGTGGTACTGAACTGAAGCCCGGGTGGTGGGGCAGGAGGAAAGGGGCTGGAAAAACAGAACCCCCCAGGAAAAGGGGGCTGAGGGCAGGAAAAGGGGGCTGAGGGCAGGAAAATGGGGATGAGGCAGGAAAAGGGGGGTGAGGGCAGGAAAAGGGGGCTGAGGGCAGGAAAAGGGGGTGAGGGCAGGAAAAGGGGGCTGAGGGCAGGAAAAGGGGGCTGAGGGCAGCACTCCCGTGCAAAGCAAAGCCAGCAGAAGCGTTGCTGCGTTCCTGGCTGCGTTCGTGCCCCGCGGTGGGGCCGCTCCCGCAGTTCCCCCCGTCTCTGACCGCGTCTCCCCCGCTGCAGGCGCCGATGCGGCCGGGACGGAGCCCAGCAGCTCGGACAGCCGGGTGGAGCGGCCGGAGCCCTACAGCAACGTGGAGGAGGCGCTGCTGGCGGGGGAGTCCAGCTACATCCAGCAGCCCCTGACTCCGGACAAGGAGGATGCGCTGCAGGCAGCCACTGTCGCCAACCTGCGTGCGGCTCTGATGAGCAAGAACAGTTTGCTGTCGCTGAAAGCCGACATGCTGAGCGAGGACAGCTCGCTGCTCTTCGAGTACCTCCCCAAAGGCACCCACTCGCTCTCCCGTAAGTTGGCCTTCTTCTGTTTTTTTTTTTTTTCCTATATTTTTTATTTTTTAGTGTTGCTTTAAGGGAAATCTTTAGCGAGAAGAAAATAGAGGTCACCGCCTTGTTTGTTGCTGCTGGTGTGTTTATATCCAGGTTTAAGTCCTGCTTAATCCCACTTTCCGTAAAATATGGAAACTTTAGTCTGATATTGATCCAGCTTTGTTGTTAACTGCTGAAGTCATAGAAGAAAATACTCAGCCTGTAGTGCTTGCCCTGAGATTTCTGTTTGGCTCGTTTGCACAATGGTACTTACAAACAAAACACAAAGTATTTGAGTCGTTATGGGAAAGGTTTTGAATCCAAACTTGATTGATGTTGAACAGCTTGAAGGTTGCTCCTGTGTCTGTGGGAACAATTGGGATGTTGTAGATTGCATGATCTTTACTTCTTGCAGTTTAATTTTAGACCTGCAAGTAGTGAGCAGCTATTGATTTTGTTATGCTTGCACCTGGAAATGAATGTTTTTCTACTGGTGTTCTGTTGGAGACAGCCGATGTGAACCATTAGGTGTGGACAGCTGATTTTTCAGCATATTTTTGTGTTTTCTTCATTGTAGCCTGATTCTCTAGTGCATAAAGAAAGAAATTATTAATGCTGTATTTTAGTAATGCTCTGAGAAGGTCCATAATTTGTGAAATAGAATAGAGCAAGCAACAGGTTTCTGAATATTACACGTTAATTTCCAGAAGAAAAAGTTTATCTATGCTGAGAAAACTGACCAAGTAAATAGAATGAAAGGTCACTTAGGATACCTATTATTCTATTTTCTTTTGGTTTCCTCAATGGGAAAAGATAGATAACTTTAATGGTCATAGAAGTAGAGAATGAATCACAGAATTGCAGAATGCTTTGGGTTGGAAGGGACTTTGAAGATCATCTTTTTCCAGCCCCTTGTCATGGGCAGAGACACTTTCCACTAGACCAGGGTGCTCCCAAGCCCATCCAAGCTGACCCCTGGAGTTGTGTGACAAAGGGAAATAATTGCACAATGCAGTGTCAAACTTAGTGTCTCTTTTCACTTCTTGTGTCTGAACAGTGGGATTGGTTTTTTAAAAAAATCCAAGAACCTTCAAGTTTCTGTGCCTTATTCTGTAGCTTAAATATTTGTGGGGAATGGCTGGTGCAGGGTTCTGGTTTCTTTCACAGTAACTCACTTCCCGAAGGATCTCCAGTTAAATCAGATTTAGATGGTTCAGATGGGGCTGCAGGGTTGAAAATCCCTCAGTTGCAGTGGAGCAGCACAGATGTGGCTCAGTTCAGTGGCAGGGTGCCCTGAGCTGGCACAGGGAGGGTGGGAGCCTGGGTCAGTGTGTGACTGTGGGTGATGGATGCACCACGGCTTCGGGTCTGTGGCTCCTGACAGGTGAAATCAGCAATTTCATCTTCTGTCTTGATAAATTGGAATAATGGCGGGGCTGCCCTCTATCCATCATCCTTCTCCTTGTTGGAGGATCTTAGGTTGTGCTTAAAAACTGAAGCACCACTTGACATAAGATAAATGTGTACGAAGCAGTCATAAATCCAGGTTAAAAATTAGAGATTGCCCAACCACCTGAGAAGCAGAGCTTGAGGAGGGGCATGGTACAGCAGGAGACAGCTGGGTTTAAAATAAAGCTTGATACAGGTAGAAGAGGGGGTAGTTGATATCTCACCGAGGGGTGCCATGGCCCAGAGGTCCTGTCCAGCCTGTATTTAAGGTCCTTATTTTCCAGTCTTCTCGCTGTTACTTGAATTTCATTCAGCTGAGCTTCAATTATCTCATCTTTATGGAAGCAAAGTGAAATGCCCAAGTCAAAAGGAAGGCTGCCTGCTTGGTCTGTAGCTCTCACAGCAGTCAGGGATGTGGCTGTGGCCTGGTAAGAGGATTTTTATAGAAGCCAGGAGTTAAGAGACATATTTTTCTTTCATCTTATTCAGATTCACAGGTATCAATTTATTTTAGTCCCTTGAAAAAGATCCTGTGATATAAGATTCCCTTTTAAGTGGTCATTACTGAATACAACAGAACATCAAGTTTGATGAGAATTTTCAGTGTATAAAATGACAGTGAAGCAAGTGGTAGGAAGATTGTGGAGATGTAAAAGCACAGTCTAGGTTGGTGCTGGCTTTGTAGGTGTTTTTGACATTTTTCTTCAAAAACAATTTGAGGATGTTGAGTCATTTTAAGTCCTGTGTTATATTAAAAAAAAAAAAAAAAAGGAGGAGTAAGTAGGTAGGAGCACAGTGAAAAAGCCTGAATTTAACAAGACAACCAAACCCAGCAGTTTTCATCTGTCTTGGTTTGAAAAGAAATGCACTAATTTCAGGGATTATAAGTGATCAGTCTCTCTGACTGTAAAGAAGTGAAGTGTTTTTTAATCTTGGCTGCTATCACTGGATTATCTTCTCTTAGAAAGCACTGCAGTACATAACTGCCTGAAGGAGCAGTATTCAGGTTTTGTTTTGATTTTTTTTTTTTCCTGAAGGATAAAGGACTTAATGGAGGTGGACAGATGCAAAGAGGGTGTTAAACATGTTTAAAATTTGGATGAGCCATTTCTAAAGGGGATATTATTCTCCAAGTTACTGCACACATTAAAAGTTTTCACTTGATCTTCCACATAATTCTTCCTGTTTTAGAAATTAGAGGATATCCCAAGGTTTTCATTTTACCACGTGTTCTTTTTAACTAATTTATTATCTGATCATATGAGGTATGAACTTGTCATTCTGCTGGTGGAAAATGAAGCCCAGAATGTGTGTGTGGGGGTGTTGTATCACTATGGTGAATTTCTGAAGTTAGCCAGTTCAAACTCATTTAAAATCAGAAGGGAAAATTTAAATACCTTGCCATTTGGGTAGCACAGTTGCCAGATAACCTGCAGCTGAAGGGCTCTGAGAGTTTGATGTTCATGATGTGTGATCAAGATTGACGTTGTTCATATGCTGCTCAGAAACCTGGAACACTCAGATTTTGCAGAAAAAAAATGTGTGAGTTACTCATGGGTAACACCGAGGCTGTCTGGGGAACTCTTGCTTACTGAACCTGCCTGGGTTATTGCTGGGGATGCCTTTCAGATAAGATATCATGAGAGTTTTCCTGCTCTTGCCACGTTTTCCTGGTTTGTCTCCAAAAGCAGGTGGTTGTTGTGTGATTTCTCTCTGCAGAGCTCCTTGGTTTAATAACGTGTTTTATTTCATTTATGAGCCTGAACTTTGGTAGCATTGTTCCACATGGTTACATCACACAGCCAGAAGTCTCAAAGGCTTCAGTCGAATGTTTTGAGATGGTTTTGCCAAGTATAATCAAGAGAAGGAGAATTTTAATTTTCATCAGAAAATGAGGTGGTTAGTTTGCATCCTTGTTTTCTCATTAAAAAAAAAAAGAAAACTTTCAGATCGTTGTGGGGGGACGACTCCCTTAAAGGGTGACTTCCACATTTCAGAATAGCACATTTGAAGGCTTTTTTATATGTCTAAGTTTGGCTTTTCCTGTTTACCCTGTGGCATCTGAAACTGTTTATAGAAGCAATTCCTATGAAGCTTCCAGTCCAAGTGATTACGTGGTACACAGAGCCCTTTTCTTTTGGGCAAACCAGCTAATAGGTTATTTTTAGTTAGTGGTTCATTGGAGCCAATAATTTATCCTTGCACTGAATGTTAAGAAATACATTTTACACAGTGGTCAACTTTCCCAGGAAGAAGTTGCAGGTATTCAGTTTGGTGTGGAATTTTCATACATGGTAAAAGAAGATTTAGGGGAGAATGGATGCAATTTTAAATGAGATACAATAACTTTGCCTCTTTTCCACAATATTTTACTGTCCAGCGGTCACAAGAATTCTGTATTCACACAAATATTGCTAAACCCTTACTTCATTTTCTGTGTGCAGAGCTGACTGAAGGAAAGTGGGTTTGATTCCTGATTTAGAAGTTAAAATACTTTTGCTTAAAATTCATTGTAGTACAAGTTTAGGAGGGAAAAAGGTTTCTCACAGTACAAGTCAGAACTGACATAAATCTATGTTCTTGTGTACAAAATGTGGGTCATTGATGTGGGTTTCTCTCTTCTTGTGTTACTTGCAGTTGTTGAAACCAAATAAATACTGATTATTGTTTGAAAACTCACCTTTGTTGTGTTGTACATCTTTGTGTGTTTGTATACCTTGGATGATAGTTTATTGCTTCTCTGTGCTTTATTTCATTGCTTGTTCATTAGCCTTAGTTTTTGCTTTAAATGCAGAGGTTTTTTGGAACCTGGTGCTAATAAAGAATTCATCAAGCCAGGCCCCACTGGTTTATCTTTACTGTGTGCTAAAATACCATTAGTTCAAAGAATTGTAACCCAGAGATGCCTTTGGGGCAGTTTGAATCGGTTTGGGATGTTCAGGGGTAAAGAAAAAGAATCTGTGTCTGTGTAGGCAGGAATTCTGCCATGGACCTGTAGAGCTGGATTCCTGGTAATAGTTTCTAACAGGAAGTACTGATAAATTCCTTTTTTCCCCTGAATTTTTTCCTATCTTGAATTTCTGGTATTTTGTTGTCCTACATTAAAATGATGACAGCAGCAGATGAGCAGCACCTGAAGGAAACCTTGGAGCTTTGTTATCCCAGCTGAACAGCGTTAACTCAGCTGGGAAAGATATCGATCTGCCATCAAAGCAGAGGAAAGCAAATCAAACATCCAGCTTGTGGCACCAGAGCAGAATTTCCTTTGATAGCTGATAAAAAAGTAAGGTTTGGGATTGTTCACATTTTGAAACTTGGTGTGGTTTCACTCGAGTGCTTTGTTGTCACCGAGATCACAGCACATTGTATTCGGACACAGTGTAAACTGTGACTTGTTGTTTGTAGCTGCATTAAAAACTGGGAGTTTTATATCCCTGAAGGTTTCCATCAGACTCTTTTTTGCTGGAAATGAAAAAGCCTTTAGGGCATTGAGTGCTTTAAATATGAATTTGTTTATTTTATGCCATATTTGCTTCTGGTTTTGCCACCTTGCATTTCAAAAAGAACAAACTACTCAGTATGTCATTCCAATATTCAGTCAAGGCACGTGCTAAAGTTTGTACAGTAATTTATAATGTACAGTGATATTGATGACATGGTCTTTATTTGTATTTAGCTTTGCCATTGATCCTCAGGGCAGTTTCTGGAATATTGTTTTCCATTTGGCTGTTGCTACAGTGTAGGCGAGGGCTGGACACAGCAAGTTTTCCTTTTGAATGATGGGAGATTTTTAGACTGTAATGACTGTCAGGTATAATCGAACAGTTTTGTACAAATATTTGAACCTCCATCCTTGCTAAATAGAGAGTGACAGGAATCCTTTTTTCCATCTTTTGTAAAGCACTTTGAGATCAAGTACTGACAGTCCGATATTAAATAAACCACCACGGACAGATCTTGAGATCTGAACCTGTGACATAAACTTTCAAGAAAGTTAGTGGAATGAAGCTTGATGTTTCCTTAAAGGTGGAAGTGTATGTGTTCAGAATGATGCTTCTCCAAGAGAAATGTGGATATTTGTGCTGCACTGTGCTCCTTTCTCCCGACGGACTCTGTAGTGACCGAGCCCTGCGACGTCACTCCAGTACACACAGACATTTGGGTGGGGAGGCTGGTTTAAAAAAAAAACAACCAACCCATCAACCAGAAAGACCAAAAGCCTGGCATCCCTGTCCTGCTGCATTCCCTCCCACTGACAGAAGATGAGCTGCGAGTGCTGGGGCGCTGCCTTTGCGAGGCCGTTTTTAAAGCCACCAGCTGGTGCTCGTTCACGTGGGTGAGATTCGTTTCCTGTGTTCCCCAGGGCCTGGCACCAGCTCGAATCCCTCAAGGGGTGAAAGTGATGGCAAAGTGGAAGCACCATCTCCCCCGCTGCCTTCAGCACACCTTGCCACTCAGAGCCCCACCAGGATCTGCTCTTCTGGTGAAATGTCACCAGAAACTGGGATAAAAGGAGAGGTGCCTTCCTCAACCCAGGTAAGATTGAGGGGGGGAGGAAAAGGGGGAAATACAAAGAATTTGAAATGCAAAGGTGTCTGTTTGATCAAATCCTTCCCAGTTAGGAGTATTTTGAAAGATCTGATACCTTATACTTTAATCTGTGAGCTTTTTTAAAAAAAAAATACAGGTTGTTTTAAAACTAGAAGTCTGTTGAGGGTCAGGACTGGTGCTGTCCCAATTTTAGTCTTTCCATCTTACCTCAACAAAACTTCTGTTCAAAAATCTGTGAGTTTTTTAAACATGAATGCTCTTTTTATTGTGAATCCCTTAATTTGCACAACATTGCACACTAGCATGTAATAATGGCATGAGACCTCATCTACCCATTGCTCACTTCTGATGTTGGGCATTTGGGTTTCTTGTAACTGTCTAAATTCAGACAGAAGTGGGCTGGCTCTCTATTACAGAAGTTTGACCTAAAATCCATAGTTTTCTGCAGCATTTCTTGTTCTTAATATTTTTGAATGATACTCCATTAAACAAATGGGTGGAAAACAGATTTTGCTTTGCCATCCCTGTAGAGCAAAGTGAGCTGGTCTGCATAGACCTGCCGGGGCTGCAGCACGCCTCTGCCTCATACAGGGCTGCCATCTGCCACACGCTGGCATATCGCAAAGGATTTATGAGAAAAAAAAGATAAAATCGGCTTCTATTTAGAATTTGGATCAGCAGTGCCAGAGGGCATTGCAGAAGAGGAGCTATGCAGAAGGTGTTTGTGTTCTACTGACTCTTCTGTGTGGAAAGGAAAAGTACCTGTGGAGGGCTAAGGGAGAATTTTCCAGTTCTGTTGTATCAGCTAAAAATATCCTGTCCAGCATTTCCCACTGGCCTGAGTGGGAGCTACGGATGTTTAGTGAGACTGGAAACTGAGTAGTTATCCAAGTCTTAAACAGGGATGTTGATTACTGTCTTCAAAACACCAAATGATAAGGTGTTCTGAGGCAAGATAAAGGCCCAGTTCACTGCTCTGGCAGTGAAAGCTTTGAGGTGTCAGGCCAAACGACTGAGCCTCCCTTGGAGAAGGGACGAAGGCAATGATGGGAGTCAGAGCTCTGCCTATGGGAAAGCTTCTTGTCAATGCCTGCCCTAACTTCCCTGTGCTTTTCCTTTCCAGGCAGCCTTTGATAGATTGCTGGCACTTTGGCAGTTTGATAACTCTGACTCAGGTAAGCAGAGAGAAAAATACACCTTTAAATTGTCATTATGTTATACCAGAAGAGGCTGATCCGTGCGTGTGTACCCGTGGTCCTGTTTCAGATTCCAGTTTCCCAAGATCTGAAGACACAGACATCACCTCTGATGGGACCTTCCTGGACTCAGCCCTGGCCACGAGGCTGACCTGTGGCTTCTGCAGGAGGGTGTTCCAGCGTGCTGAGGAGCTGCAGGAGCACATCCACAAGCACACCCTCTCCATGCTGCTCCCGCTCGACTGCTCCCAGCCCGGCCTCACCAGCGGCCAGCTCGGCCGCTTCCAGTGCTCCAAGTGCCCCGCCAGCTTCACCCTGAAATCCAACATGGAGCGGCACGAGAAGACCATCCACTGCCACTGTAAGAAGATGCAGTGTCCTCACTGTGCCAAGCTGTTTCGGGACAAGACAGACTTAAAGCGGCACCTTCTGTCCATGCACTCGAGCGAGCGCGCCTCGGTCTGTCTCTGCTGTGGGAAGGGCTTCGGAGCCCAGAAGAGCCTCAGTAGCCACCTGAAAATGTGTTCCCTGGGCTCTGCCCACCTGGCTGGGCTGGAGCTTATGGACAGTGTAGGGCCAAGCCAGGATCCTGAGCATGCATAGCTGCTGCTGTTGTTGTATACAAGATGCTTCCTCGAACTAGGAAAAGCAAATCGTGCCATGGTTCTTGTGCTGCAAATAAATGTTCACAGGTGTAATTTCATAGAGTGATTCCCCAAAGGTGATCAGTTGGTGCTGTGCTGGTTCCAGATGCTGTGTCACTGCAGCCTTGTGGCAATTTTTGTGCAAAGATAACTTTTTTTGGGTCCATAAAACGGGCACTTCGACTGTTTTATTGGAGTGCTCATTCTATGTTCTGACACTGCCTTGAACTGCTTTATCAGTTGATCTCAAAGTGCTTTATAAAAGAAATGGGGATGTTTTCCTCCAATTCCTCTGGAAAATAACATCCCTCAGGTTGTTGAAAGTGCTAGCAATAGAATTAATAATAGAATTCAATTCTGAGTTCTGCTCTAGTGCTCTGTCCATTAGACCATTTGGGCATTCCAGGGATTTTCACTGTGAACCTAGGAGCTGTGGAAGCACAGGGTTGCTGTTTGTAAAGTGGTTTTCTATATCTTTCAAAGGAGTAAAATACACTGCTTGTTCATATGTCCAGTAGGGTATGTTACTTGGGCTTGAAAGTTGTTGCAAGGCTTGCATCTTTTATTGATACTGTATTTCAGTACTTTCAGGGCTTTTTTTAAATAACGTGCTGGAGTTTGGCTGTGGTTTGCAGGGATTCTGTACATTTTTGTGACTCTTTTGGTTTATACACTGTAATTAAGTTAGCCAGGCTGAGTGTGGAGGTGTTGAAACAGAGGAAGGAGGCTTTACATAAATTTAATTGTAACTTGGGGTGTGCATACAGAATCAGTAATGGCTGCTCCTGGTGGGTAGAAATCTGTAATTCCTGTTTCGTTCTATGAAATTCACTTACTTTTTTAAAAAATTAAATACTTGTGTGTCTATTGCTGTATATTTACATACAAAACCAGATTATGGTAACTGTGAAATGAAAGTAGCATAATTAAGAGCAGTGTTTCCCAGCTGCTCTGTGTGCAGCACAGCTTGTCAGCATGTGGGGTTTCTTTCCTCAGTGTGAGACAGCTGAGGAGAAAAAAAAAAACCAACTTCCACAAATGTTCTCTGGAGTTCTTCAGGGAAGTTCTTTCTCATTATACTGTTGCATCTCAGGGGGACAAAAATGAGCAATACTTAGTTGTGCACAATGTGGACTTAGTGAGGAGCTTCTTCCCCAGTCCTTTCCTGTGGAAAGGTGAATGAGAGCCCACCAGGACCTGCTGCCCTTGGGCTTGTGGAGGAGGAATAGGAGCTCTGCTCCACCTGACCCTGCTGGGAGCTGCAGCTTCAGGGACACAGCTCCGTGCCACGCCAGGGCTGGGAAGCTGGAGTTTCCCTGCTTGGCTTAGCTCTTACCCTTTATTTGATCATTCTGCAGTCAGAACCGAGGATCAGTTCCCATGTAATCACTGTAGTACTCTTTAATCATTTGGGTTTAGATGTTATGCTTTTTGCAAAGTCAGGTTCATTTTTTCCGCTCTCGTTCCTGTTGACATCTTTGGCATGGGAGATCTCGGCTGTCTGGGAGTGTGTGTAGCTTTTACTGTCAGCTTCCCTTGTGACAGATGTCAGAGTAATTGCCTCATGATTTATTTTGCTCTTAAATAATCAGCTAGTGAGAAAGGAGGAAGCTGAGCCAGAAAACAAAGTTGTAACCCGATGAATCTTATCTGGAAATTTGGGAGCAGCAGGGAAGGATTTGTCTGACTTGGGAAAGTAAGATGCCAGCAAAAGCAATTTCAGCAAACTTTAAAAAGTTTCATTACATAATAATAGTTAATGAGGTTTCATGTTTGCTGATTTTTCTTGTATTTTAGAATTTAATTAAACAGAGAATTCTTTTTCTGCTGTCTCTGATAGAGGTTTTAGTAGTATTTTCCTTGGCCTGTGCATCAGAGTGCTTCCTGACTTCAGCACTGGGAATTTCCAGTGCTTCCCTTCAGGATCAGGACTAGGTTTTTTAAATTGTTAGAACTGAAGGGTATAACAGGGCAGAGCTTTATTGGGATTTTGTAGGACAGGTGCTAGAAGCAGGATTTTACTGTTAGGAAATAGCATGGGAAGCTGATGGGAGGTGTGAGTCTGACAGTTAAATTGAACCTTCCTATTTATAACCTTAAATATAAAAGGGATTTAGCGGACAAGAATTCTCCTGAAGTCTGTGAGTTCTTTCTAATAACCCAAAGAATGGAGTATGTCAGTGATTATTAACTAGGTGACAGTTTACAGAGTTACTCCAGAGCAGCTCCATCAGGCATCATAGTGCATTTCCTTCACTCTCAGGGATGTAGGAACCTGTGTCCTTTAGCAGCCTCAGTGAAATAGGTTACTTGAGATGACAATACCAAAGATTTTTTCCCAAGCATTATTGTGTTGGTTTTAAAATCACACATTTCCATAAATATTTTAGTGGCATTAAGGACACAGATTTTTACTGTGTCACTGTTTCTATTTCCTTCTCCATTTCTTGGTGCTGTGTCCAGGAGCTCTTTACCCATGGTGCTGCTGTTTATCACCTCGATGATCATGTTAAAGATGATTTCTTAGGACCTTAATGCTGCTACACTTAATGCTGCTATAAAATATTGTTGTTTAGACAAAGGATGATTCTCATACCAAAGCTGGTATTTATGCATTAAATAGATTTACTGTGGGGGCATATATTTTACAGGACTGTGAAAATGTTAATGCTGCAATATGCAATTATTTTTCTGACCATGCTGCTGTTTTTGAGGTGTTTCCTTCTGTAGATACCAGAACTAAATATGTGGCTATTTGGTGCAAAAATAGTTTTCAATAAAACTATAGCTGCAAAGAGTGCTCTGTGAGTATTTTTAAATACAGAAGCTGAAAATATTGTTTTTGTGTGATTTAAGCTGAATGCAGGCATGAGGGATCTTGGGCAGAATGAGGAATAGGCTGTTGGGAATCCATGGATGTGTTGGAAGCAGGTGGCTGGGGAGGAGCCTGCTGGGGGTGCAGCTCATGCTCCCAGCCTTGGGTGCTGCCTTTTCAGCTTTGCAGCAGCTCAGCCCTGAAGGGAAGGGAGAGGTGAGCAGGAAACAGGAGCAGGCACTGAGGGAACAGCAGGATCAGCCCAGTGATGTAGGAATAGGGGATTTCTGGGTTTCTCTCCTTTTTCTTCATGCTCCCAGGATCTGGTTGCTGTCAGGGTGTCCAGTCAGTGTTTCCCAGTGGCTCTGTGTCTCTGCATGTGTGTGGTGTGGAGCAGGACTGGAGGAAGGAGGGTTTGTGTCCCCTCTTGACTCCCTGTGCTCAGTTTACAGCTTGCTCACCTTTCTACTCTCCATAGTGACAAGGTTGTTACAAATGTGGGTGTGGCCTGTCACCAAAATCAAGTGGTTACAAAATCAGACTGGAAATGAATTTATAATAAATAGCTTTGTATGATAAAATTGCTGCCTGCTGCAGGAAAACGTGGGCTCCTTGCCTCTGAGTGTATAGATGAAGGAGTGTCAAACCCTAGGAGAAAATTTTAAAAAATTAATTTCCTGTAATAAAAGACAAAGAATTTTCATATTCTAGTTGTTAAAAAAATTGTAGGAAAGTCTCCTCCATAGACTGTTTCCTTTACCAGGAGCCATTTACAAATGCATAAGTTATAGTGATTAACTAGAACTTGCTTTCTTTTTTCCCCCCTCCTTGTTATGTAAATGTAAATATTGCTTTGAGAAATTACAATAATTAGGAGAAAAGTGGGTGAAAATTAGCACACCAACAGGAAGCAATAGAATGGAGGAGAAACAGGAGAAATCATCTCCTCGTGGTCAGTCACTTCCAAACTTGTAGTGGGTGGGTGGTGCCCTCAGGGAACAGCAATACTCAGGTTTTTTCACCTGCTGTATTTTGTGTGTGGCACTGTCACTGGATAATGTAGAGAATGGTGGTTGGAACTGTTCTGTTTCCTCTGGGCCATCCTCTGCCTCTGCTTCTTCACCAAAGTGCTCCTGGGCTGTGTGATGATGTTCTGGCATCACCCCATAAATAACACTGGCACTGTTTGGGTGCCACCTTTGTGGACTTCTGTTCCTGGCTCCCTGCTTCTTCCAGAAGTAATACTGTTAGGGTTTTAGATCTTGATATTTAGGATAATCCTTTATAATAAATCAGAACTCTAGCAGGTTGACAGTCCTCTTCATTTTCCCTTTAGCAAGCAATGTCTCTAACAGGCTGTTGCTAAATGTTTGTGTGTCAACTTGTGCAAAAGCTGCTGTGATGGAGGGACTCAATTTCTTAGTAGTATTTTCCTTGGCCTGTGCATTTAATAATATATTGTTTCTAATACAGTATAAGGATTAAAAATATGTAGATGGTTAAGGGGTAAGAGTGTGATTTCACTGTGAAATCATTTAATAGTGAAATAGTCAACGCAAAGATTGTTTTGAGACATTCTGAGATTAATCTGTGCGTTCTGCTTTCTCTCTTGCAGTCAACGAGTTCACAGTCATCAGGAAGAAGTTCAAGTGCCCATACTGCAGCTTTTCTGCCATGCACCAGTGCATCCTGAAGAGACACATGAGGTCCCACACGGGGGAGAGGCCCTATCCCTGCGAGATCTGTGGGAAGAAGTTCACCCGCCGCGAGCACATGAAGCGCCACACCTTGGTAAGGGCAGTGCTGGCCATCAGCCCTTCTCTTAGGGCAAAGAGAGCAGGAACTCACCTCTTCTAATCTGGATTTTGTTTGCCCCTCAGGGCTCATCTGAAGGCTTCTCCTGTATCTTTTTCCCCTGCCTTTCCAAGGCCTCGTGGCTGGCTGCCTGTTCATCCTCCTCTCGTTCTCCAAGCTCAGCTAGAAGCTTTCCAAGGTTTTGGGTGGATATTAGCAAAAATTCTTCACTGAAAGGGTTGTTCAGCCCTGGCACAGGCTGCCCAGGACAGTAGGGGAGTCACCATCCCTGGAAGAGTTTAACAAACATGTAAATGTGGCTTCTGGGGACATGATTTAGTGGTGGACTTGGCAGTGCTGGGGGAACAATTGGACTTGATCTTAAAGGCCTTTCCCAATTTAGCAATTCTGTAATTCTATGACTTGGTGCAGAAAGCTTTAAAACACATTGCTCAGCAAGAACTTGAGGCAAAGCTACTCTGTTCTGGCCATGCTTAGTTATCAAAAATGCTGTTACACCTTGTTAAAGAGGCTCCTCAGCTCTGACTGCAATGCTGGTGGTGGTGTCTGGCTCTTCACAGCTTCTTCAGAAACAGAATTTTAAGCTGAACTTTGATTATTTTTCTTTTCAGGGTAGAAATGATTTGCCATCCTAAAGAGGTTCTCAAAGCTTGATGTAGAGGTGGTGTTGTGGCAGAGCAGGTACTTTCTAGGCAGTAATTCCAGCAGCAGATCTGGCTCACCTCAGATGATGCCCCAGGGCCCACACTG